GGAGGGAAATGTGAGGGGAAAATGGAGGGAAATGTGAGGGGAAAAGGGTGGGAAAAAATTGCAGGAAAAATGAAGGCACAAAAAGGGTGGGAAACGTGAGGGAAAAGGGTGGGAAACGTGAGGGGGAAATGGTGGGAAATGTGAGGGGAAAAGAGAGGGAAATGTGAGGGGAAAAGAGTGGGAAATGTGAGGGGAAAAGGGTGGGAAATGTGAGAGAAAAATGGAGAGAAATGTGAGGGGAAAAATGGCGGAAAAAAATGGCGGGAAACGCGAGAGCACAAAAATGGTGGGAAATGTGAGGGGAAATGGGGGGAAACGTGACAGAGAAAAATGGTGGGAAAAAATCGCAGGAAACATGAGGGCACAAAAAAGGTGAGAAACATGAGAGAAAAGGGTGGGAAATGTGAGAGGAAAAGGGCAGGAAACGTGAGGGGAAAACGGAGGAAAATGTGAGGGGAAAAGAGTGGGAAACGTGAGGGGGAAAGGGAAGGAAACGTGAGGGGAAAAGGGAGGAAAACGTGAGGGGAAAAGGGAGGAAAACGTGAGGGGAAAAGGGAGGGAAACGTGAGGGGGAAAGGGCGGGAAACATGAGGGGAAAAACGGCGGGAAAAAATGGCGGGAAACACGAGAGCACAAAAATGGCGGGAAACGTGAGGGGAAATGGCGGGAAATGCAAGTGAGAACGTGCCAGAACACAACATCCCGGGGTGACACAAGCTCAGGGTGCCACGAGGTCGGGGTGACACAGAGTCAGGGTGACATGGGGACATGGGGACCCGGGGTCACAGCGCCCTGGGACTGGGGTGCCTCCGACTGTCTCAGGGTGACACTGGGTGCTCTGAGGTGACACAGGGTCAGGCTGTTGTGATGACACGGTGACATAGGGATGGGGTGGGGGGGGGACAGTGGGTGCTCTGAGGTGACAGCGGGTGTTGTGGTGTGTCCCTGGGTGACACTGGGAACTCTGGGGGGACAGTGGGTGACAGGGGGTGACACAGGGTGACAGTGGGTGTTGTGGTGTGTCCCTGGGTGACACTGGGAACTCTGGGGGGACAGTGGGTGACAGGGGGTGACACAGGGTGACAGTGGGTGTTGTGGTGTGTCCCTGGGTGACACTGGGAACTCTGGGGGGACAGTGGGTGACAGGGGGTGACACAGGGTGACAGTGGGTGTTGTGGTGTGTCCCTGGGTGACACTGGGAACTCTGGGGGGGCAGTGGATGACATGGGGTGACAGCGGGTGTTGTGGCGTGTCCCTGGGTGACACTGGGAACTCTGGGGGGACAGTGGGTGACACGGGGTGACAGTGGGTGTTGTGGCGTGTCCCTGGGTGACAGCGGGTGCCCGGGGGTGACAGTGGGTGCCCTGGGGTGATATGGGGTGACATGGGGTGTCCCTGGGTGACAGCGAGTGACATGAGGTGACAGCAGGTGATACTGGGTAACACTGGGAATCCCTGGGGTGACACGGGGTGACAGTGAGTGTCCTTGGGTACCCTGCGGGTAACAGTAGGTGACAAAGGGTGACAGCAGCTGACAAAGAGTGACACGCGGGTGACAGTGGGTGACAGTGGGTGCCCGCAGGTGACAACAGGTGACAAAGGGTGACACGTGGTGTCCCAGGCTGCCCAAGGGTGACAGCGGGTGACAGCAGGTGCCCTCAGGTGACAGTGGGTGTCCCCGCGTGCCCCCAGGTGACACGGGGGGACAGTGGGTGCCCCAGAGTGCTCTGGGGTGACAGTAGGTGACAGTGGCTGTGATGGGGTGAGATGGGGTGACAGCAGGTGACAGCAGGTGACAGTAGGTGACA